CTGCTCCCCCCACCGACCAAACTGTGCAGCTCTGCAACTGCATCCTGGCCCATCCTCACCCTTCTGCCCCCAACCCTCACCTCCTTGTAACCCCAATATGTTTTTCCCAATAAAAAAATATTAATAAAAATATTTTCTAAAAGCTTTCACCATGCACACTCAATAAGATGTTTTGTTGATGATGGCGGGTGTGGTGTGGTGTGGTGGTTGTGTGTGTGTGGTCTTTTCCAGATTAAGAGTTTCCTTTGGGCCTGAGCATGCTAATAAATATTTCAAATGGGAAATGGATGTTGAATCTTTTTTCCCTTGTGTACAGTCAAGTCGGATCCAGCTGGCACAGGAGGAGATTGCTCCTCCTTCTGCAGCAGAGCATCTGGTGGATTTGAACCATGAGCTTTAGGGATTCCAGAGCAGCTTCTCGCCACTAGGCCACCAGAGCTCCCTTGAATGTTGAATCTTGTAAAATATTTTTCAACTCCTCTTGAAACTCATCAGGCAACTTCTATTACTCTAGTGAAATACACTCAATGCTTTTCAAAAGTCAAATAAAATTTAACTTCCAGAATCCTCCCAGCTGGTCATCAGGCATTACCTCTTTGCATGCTCCTGAATTCCACTCAGGACCTTGGCGCCAATGTTTCTGGATGGAGCTGGCCTGTTGTTTCCACGCTCATACTGTCCTCTGCAAAGTGTGAGGCTGTGATCACACTGGCCACAGTGACTTGGGAAGAGTCCTCTCATTCTCTCCTATGGCATCTGGTAGATGTCAAGCCATCATCTGGGCCTGGAGTCTGTGAGGAAGTTTTTCATCAGATTTGGCTTTTTGGTGGAACAGCTGCTTGCTTTCTTCTGGTTGGTTGCGTGTATCTCACTTTTCTACTTTCCCATTAGTTGATTTGGGAGTCATCTACTTGAACACTTCCCACCCCCGTCCCCTGCTCCGTCTAAAAGTTTGGACACATGCCCTCGACTCATCCAAGGTTGGGGCTCATTTCCTTTCCTTCCATGCATGTGAGCTCGTAGCCCCATCGTCTCCCACTCACCCGAGTCCTGTCACGTGCCTGCCTACTGGCACTGCACACAATGTCCCCTGGCATGTGCTGGGCCACACTTGCAACCCTCGGGGTTGTCATGTCTCCAGCAAAGTTGTGGGCACGTGCAGTGAAATGCAAAGTTCAGATCAATAACCGGCCACATCTTTGTGCCGCTGTGTCTCATATTGCCTATTATATGGGATATACTTACACCAAGAAAAAGTGTTTAAAGTAGACAATACCAAAAAATATCCACTTGCACTTTATTAACTACACAAATGCGCTCAACTGTGTGGATTGTAACCAATTATGGATAGCATTATGAATGGGAATTCCAGACACTTCATAACACAAGATGAAACCATTAGAATAGAACAAGGGGATGCTGCATGGTCTAAAAGACTCTCCCTGGGGTGAACTGACACGGTGGCTGCAAGCAAAGGCCCCAAGCCCAGTCGTGAGGAAGGTACAGCCCTGGGAAGTTGAAGTTGGCTGTCTTGTGCACGCGTTTGCTCCGAGCCAGAGCTGAACGGATGGATGGCTCCTGAAAGTAGTTGGTCTGGCCTCTCATTTCCGAGCTCCTTGGGGGAAACATTTTGGGAGCAGGTCTGGCAGGGGCATGCCATGGTTTTTGTGTCACTGGTCAGATGGGCCTCCCTTGTTACAGCAGGTTGTGTGGACATGGAAGCTGCACGTCTGAGGGGAGCAGGTGGTCAGCCACCTAAGATCAGTCCCAGCTCTTGAGGCAGAGCTTGGGACCAGCCCAGCAGATCTGGCCTGAGCCAGCTGGAGACCTGGACCATGAGTCCTGGGCAGTAACACTATCTATCTGTCTTCTCAGCGCCAGTGCTGCCATCCACCATGGTGAAGCTGGGCTGCAGCTTCTCTGGGAAGCCAGGCAAAGACCTTGGGGCACAGGATGGGGCTGCCATGGACATTGTCCCTCTCATCAGCTCATTGGATGTCAGCCAACTGCCACCACCATTTCCAGAGCAGGTGAGAGGCTTGGGCCAGGAGAAAGGGGCCTTCAGTCGGGTGGGAGCAGAGGGATGTTGGTGAGATTCCTTAGACATGCCTCCTCCGAGGTGGGGAGGACAAGTGGGGAGGCTCAAGGCTGGGCTGGAACCCCCAGAGGCATCATGTGACAGGGTAGACTCTTGTCTCCAAACAGAAGGGAGAGCAGAGGGGGGCCCGAGCCAGCAAGACAGGCCCAAGAGTGAAAGTTCCCACAGCACAGGGCACACAGCAGCAGAAGTCTGCTGACGGGACCTGTGCCCCCCCCCCCGACTCCTGACTTTGTACTTCTACAGGTAATCATCAAGACACAGACAGAGTACCACCTGTCTTCCCCAGAGTGGGACCTGGAGGCCCAGAAGCTGAACTGCAGCCAGTCACAGGAAGGGTGCAAGGTGACTGCACACTCCCATCTCTGGCCACCACTCTGAGCCATGAAAGACAAGGAATACAGAGAAGAGAGGGTCCCTGGACAGCTAGGCTGGAAAGGAGAGTCCAGTCAGTTCCTTTTAATGGGCCTGGCCTGCTCCCAGCACAGCAGCCCCCTGGTGAACTGTAGAGGTGATCCGGGGTGCTGGGTGCCCTGTGTCTGTGGCTGCTTCTGCCAAGCCCCTGACAGTGCTTTCTGCCCATTTGCCCTTGTTGGTCTTTTCCTAGTGATTCAGAGGTGGTTTACTGTATTAACGGCTTTAAATAATTTCTTTTTACCATGTTTGAGCAAGGCTTGACACAGCTAGCTGGTTTTCCATTCCTACACGGTTTCTGTTGCCACATTAACTACAATACCCACAATGCAACCGCACGGCCCATGCTTCTCCCTATGGCTGCTGTTCATTCTACCTTCCTGCCCTCCTGCCTCCCAGCATTCCCTCTGGTCCTGGGCTGGCCTTTGGATCCTACAGGCATGGTCATGCCAAGGAGTGAGTGCCTCCCAAATGATACGGTTAACCCAAAGACCTCTGTTATTTGGCTAAAAGTTAAACCACGAGTATGAGTTTTGTTCCAGTTTCAGAAGGTCGTGGAGGCCCACGCTGTAAGTATCCCATCAGTCTATCAGAGCAGAAAGCCTGACATTTGTATGTTTTTAGTTTTGTTCCACAATTTCCCCAGCTCTATATGGAATCCACTTCCTAAATCACATGTCCCCGGAAACTATGAACTTTGATAAATGTCGATAGTTGTAGAGGGGCTTCAGGCCTTTTATTCATAGGGTCGCTATGAGTCGTGCTCGACGCGAAAGCAAACAACAACATATGGTATTATATGGAGCTCTGATGGCCTAGTGATAACAAACTGTGCTGCAATCCCAAAAGTGGATGGTTCAAATCTATCAGATGTTCCTTGGGAGAAGGATGGGCAATAATTTATAGTCTCTGAAAACCTGCTGAAGGGTCAGCTACGGGTCAGTTCCAACTGGACAGCAGTGAAGAAAAGTGTCCGTTTCCAGTGTGCCTCTTCTAGACCGTTTCTGCTTAGGTCAAATCTGTGCTTGGCTGCTGGCAGGAGCCCCCTTTTCCCGACTCAGGCCCAGCCTCCTAAAGACCCCTGTGGACTGTTTGAAGAATCTCTCAACATGAATTTCCTCTGGCTTGACAACAGAGGTGAACAGAAATCCAGCTGAGTGTCCCAATCCCCAACTCTAATCACATCTGATACACATAGTCTGAGGCCAGAGGGCTGAGGTCCAACCTGGACACCTGACTCTGATCAGCGTAACAGGTGGGCAGTGGGGACTTGTGACCCGACCGTGGTTCCTGGGCTCAATGATCTCTGAAAGCTGTCTCTGCTGCTAGCACCCTGCCCTGAAGTGACCCAGCTCTCCCCGGTCTGTGTCACAGCTGCCCGCTGGCCGGATGATCGCCTTCGTGTTGGCCTTCACGGGATGTGTTCTGATCATGTACAAGGCCATCTGGTATGATCAGTTCACCTGTCCAGACGGCTTCCTGCTTCGGGTAAGTCTGTGCAAAGGGGGAAGGGCGATGCAGACCTCCCAATGTTGTACCTCTGCCCTGCCCCCTCTCTGGGTCTGAGGAGCGTCATCCCGCAATCCAGTGGGAATGTGGTCTTGGAAACTTCCCTCGATTCTCCAGCCAGTCCAGGCCCACCCACAGCCCCGTCCACTCCCATACGCACCCCTACCTCCAACCACAACCTCATCTTCACCTCACCCAACTCCAGCACACCCCCCTCTACACCTCTATCCACCTCCTCCCCCATATCCACTCCCACCCTCATCTCCACCTCCAAGCACACCCCCACCTCTACCCCACTTCCCTACACCCCCATCTGTCCCCACCCGCATCCCACCTCCAACTGTACCCACACCTCCACTCCTCATGCCACCCCCACCCCATCCCCATCTCCACCTTCATCCCCAACCTCACCTCATCCCTACCTGTACCCCAACCTCCACCTTCCAACCCCAACTCATACTCACATCTGCCCCCACCCCCTCCCACCTCCACCTCCACCTTCACCCCTATCCTCACCCCACCTCCATCTTTCCACACCCTCATGTGCTCCCATCCTCATCCCACCCCACACCCCACCTTACCCTCATCCTCACTCTTACTTCACCTCCCCCCAACTTGAACCCACCCCCATCCACATCCTCACCTCCACCCTCACCCCTACTCACACCCCACCCCATTAACACTTTCATTCCCACCTGCTTCCACACACCCACTCACACCCACTCACCTTCCACGCAGCCCCTACCCTAACCCCCATAGCCCATATCCTCACACTTGTACCCACTTCTGCACTCCACCCCGTAACTTCCACCCTCCTATCCCTAGCCCCCACTCCCATTCACCCACACCCCACACCCCCCACAATGCACATTCCACCCCATTCCTGCCCCCACCTCACACCGCCACCTGCACCTACACCCACACCCCCATGCCCTACACCCCCTCCTGTGCCCACACCCTCACCTGCACCCTCATCTCTAACCCCCACTCCTAGTCTCCCCACACACACCGCCATCACCTTCCAGTCTGGGCTGTCCAGCCTTGGCCTATGCTGTCCTGGCTACACCGTTGATGCTGATTTGTCTTCTACTGTCCTATCGACATCCAGCACAAAATCTGCACGCCCCTGACCCTGGAGATGTACTACACGGAGCTGGCTCCTGAGCGCCATCACAGCGTCCTGGCGGCCATTGGGGCCTACCCACTGGGCCATAAGTATGGCACCGAGATACCCCTGCCATGGGCAGAGAGCTACCACACCACAGCCAAGGAGAACCGCAAAGGGTCCACCCAGGTGGAGGTGGCAGATGTGGATTCAGGGAAGCCCCCAGCCAAGGGCAAGAAGGATGAGACCAGCAAGGTGGCAGGGAGCTTAGCACCCTTGGCCCTACAGTGACCACCTTCAGCCTCCAGGGTAAGCCAGGCCTCCTCCTCGGGGAGGGTCAAGCTCCTTCAGGTTGGCCTGGATAGCCCCTGGGAGGGTCAGCCAGTCCATTGGGGTGGGGTTGCCAGGCAGTAGTTGTTAAGTCTACTGGAACAGGGTCATGCTGGCTGCACCCTGGGTTCCTGGGGGTTGTCCTCCCACCCTTTCTAGGCAGGGACACCTGCCCTGCTCTTTCTCTGCTGCAACCCTGGAAGATGCACCATTGGTCTCCAAGGGCAGGGGTGCAGGGTGGGCGGCAAAGGATGGGGGTGATCTGAAGCTTTAGCCAGCTCTGCTTGTCCCCTAGGTGAAGGAGACGGACCACAGTCAGCCCCACTGCTAACTTCAGGCCCATCCTCGGAGCTGTGTTTCCTTTGCACCCGTGACAGCAGGACAGCTGCCCCTTTGCCCACATGCCTGTGCACTGGCCCCAGCACCCCACCTGGGCACACCCAGCCTCCCAGGTCCCCATAGCTTCTCGCTTTTGTCTAGTAAAGGTTCGTGTTTGCTGAGGTTGTGTCTCTCACAATCCGTGGTGGCCAGCTAGCTCAGTGAGACCAAGCACGTGAATCAGGAGCCCCTGTGCACATGGACCCCAAGGACCTGAGAGCCAGGCTCACATTGGCGGGACAGTGTCTGGGTCATTGTCTGCAGGGTACTGCCGAGGCTCAGTCCTCCCTGGGCCCCATCTGCCTGTCCTGACTTGCCTCCCCTGTGTGACCAGGAGCCCTCCTCAGTCTTCCAACAGCCCTAACTTCTCCCCAGATGTGCACAGACAGAAGTAATTGAAGAACTGATAGAAAAAATGAATCTACAGAGGCAGGGTGGAGAATGGGCTGGAAAAACCCTCTCCAGCAGCTCCATTCCTCAGCGTGTCCCTGAGGCTGGTTCAGATGTTCCCAGCCATCTGACTCCAGTCCAGATACCTCATCTGGGCCTAAGGACTCTACCCAGAGGACTCTGTGGTGAGGTCAGGCCAGGCAGGGCACAGATTGGAGCTGGGCCAGAGCCACAAGCAAACACAAGATACATTATATTTCACAGGATTGCACACGGGACAGGGCCTGGCTCACATAGGATTGCACATGGGACACGGCATGGAGGCATAGATGACACATGAATCACACATGGGGGAAGCTGTGGTGGACCCCTCCGGGACTTCAGTGGAGGATATCCCAAACTAGTCTTTGCAGTGCCAAAGAGGTCCCATCTAAGCGGGTCAGCAGGACCAGTCGAGCCACAAGTCTATGAACTTGGATCCAGGCTCACACAGAGTCATGAACTAGGTCCGGGTCAGTGAACTTGGGTCCAGATAGAGACATAATACCATCTCCAAGCCCCCAGAAAGGACAGGACCATGCCACAGGGTTCTAAGTCTCAGGAGAGGGGTGGCCTGGCTTTCTGCCCTTTGCTGGGACCTTTCCTGCTTTGGGACAGTGTGAGGATGTCACAGAGGTGGTGGTGGGAAAACAGGGGTGAGGGGGTCCAGGGAGCTGTGCAGAAGGTGGGAAGAGGTGGCGGTCAGGGCGGATCAGCCTTGCAACCTTGTCCTTCACTCACTGGGCCAGGTGGACAGAGGACAGACTGGCTTGGCAGGAAGGGACTTGCCAAGACTGACAGGCCTGGAGGGGCCGCTGGGAGACACAAAACAAGGCCTGCACTGCTGAGGCTTAAACAAAAACCTGCCTTTTCCATCTGTTTTATTTTTCATAACATTTTATTTAAAAGTAAATTCACATCTACAACCAGGAGAAGATAAAACAGATGAATGGGACCTTCTAAGAATCAAATCCCTATGCACATCCAAAAACTTCTCCAACAGGGTAAAAAGGGAAGCCACAGACTGGGAAAAAGTATTTGGGAATGACATGTCAGATAAGGGATTTTTTATCTAGAATTTATAAAATACTTGAGCACCACAACAAGATAAAGGTAAATAATCCAATTGAAAAATGGGCACAGGATATGAACAGACACTTCACCAAAGAAGACAGATGGCCAACAAACATATGAAGAAATGTTCAAAATCCCTAGCTCTAAGAGAGATGCAAATCAAAACAACTATGAGATATCATCTCACCCCAGTCAGAATAGCAAAATTTAACAGAACAGCAAGCAACAAATGCTGGCGAGGTTGTGGAGAAATGGGAACCCTTACTCACTGTTGGTGGGAGTGTAAGATGGTGCAGTCACTGTGGAAGGCGCTTTGGCGCTTTCTCAAAAAGTTGCAAATACAGATACCATTTGACCCAGCAATTCCACTACTGGGAATATATCCCAAAGAGATCATAACTGACATCCAAGCAGATATATGTACACCCGTGTTTATCGCAGCTCTGTTCACAATAGCAAGGAGCTGGAAACAACCCAGGTGCCCATCAACAAACAAATGGATAGAGAAGCTGTGGCATATTCACACAATGGAATACCATGCTGCATTAAAAAACAAAGAACTCATGCAGTATTATTCAAAATAGGTGACCCTGGAGGACATTAAGGTGAGTGAAATATCTCAGTCACAAAAGGACAAACACTGCATGGTGCCACTGCTGTAAAATGGGACTGATATCAGGGTTGGGGTAAGACTGAGAAAAACTGGATAAATTGTGTATACTGCATTGAAACAGATGAGGGAGAGTAATTTAAAAGCAATGTATGAAATCACAAGAGTCCACAATTAAGGTTGCATCATGGAATGTACTTGGGGCGGTGAGAGGGGTGCGGGGGAATTGCATACTAGGCAGGGAGTGTTTCTTTTCAAAGAGAGGAGTGAACTGGGGGGGGAGGGTTGGGGGGGAGAGAAGTGCAACAATGAATGAATCAAAATCCAAAATATCTTTAAGTGTTCATGAAAATTATTAAAATAAATTTTAAAAAAGGGGAAAAAGGAAATTCACATTTGTATAAAACTTTTAAGAAGAGTAAAAAGAACTCTCTCACATACTCCCCACCAAGGTTACCCAATTGTCTGCATCTCACTAGACCTCATTCGGATTTGGCTCATTGTCACAATAATGTCTTTAGAACCATCCATCCAAAAAAAGGCCCAGGAGCAAACATTGCATTTATGATTGTTTACCATTTGGTCACCTTGAATGTGGCATTCTGTCACCGTGACCAACAAGGGATCTTTGCAACTTTGGAGTTTACAGATATGATGCAGAAACCCCTCAGTTTGGGTGTGTGGCTATCCCCCTCCCCAGGTGAAGATGACTCGGGCAGGACCACCCAGAACAACCTGTCTGCTCCCCTGCACATGAGAACGAGGATAGGGTCAGGTGGGGGACGGCTTTGCTCCATCAGGGTGATGGTCATTACAATCACGGATGTAGTGGTTTCTGACAAGTTTTTCCCCCTGAAGCAGACTTGATCTCTTACAGAATGTACCCACTCTGAACGAGGTGAAGATCATGTACACACCAAATGCCCCTCCCAGGTTTCAGCACCTGTCTCGGTGTCCTTGGGTTGTGCAATGAGGTTGCAACTAGGCTCAGGGAGTCAGCAGGGCTTGTGTGCTCTGCGAGTAGATCTCCCTTGTCTTTTAGCTTCTGCTGGCCCTCAACATTATTGGCTAATGGCTGCATCACAACAGTCAGCTCTGTCACCACATGGTCATGTATCTGTTCTTTGGTTTTTTACAAGAATAACAGTCATATTGGATTAGGACCCTCCCTACCCTAGTCTGATTAAAAATATCCCATACCAATCCATCTCAGCTTGCAAAAGCCTAATATGTCAGATTCTCACCACTGGTCCAATTGACAGCAACATGATAGATGGAGAGTAGATTGAAACTTTAACAATTTATGCTTTCTTGGCACCAGCAATCAGAAAATCAAAAGACAAATGTCATTGGAAAAAGTTGCTTTCAGGGATCTCTCCAAAGTGCTTACGAGCAACAATTTGAGTCTGGAAGCTAAGGTGCACTTGATCCAGGCCATGGTCTTCGCAATTACTTGCTATGCATCAGAAAGCTGGGCAATGACTAAGATTACTGAGGAAGAATCGAAGCCCTTCAGTTGTGGTGCCAGAGAAGAGTGTTGATCATTTCTGGGCTTCCAAGAGAACAAACAAGTTTGTCCTGGACAGGGTGAAACTAAGTTGCTCCGTGGAAGCAAGGATTTTGAAGCTCTGTCTCACATACTTCAGGCATGTTGCCAGAAGGAACCAGTCCTTGGGGAAGGACATCATGGTTGGAAAGGTGGAGGGTCAGCGCAAGGGAAGAAGACTCAGGATGAGATGGATTGACACAGTAACTGGGGTAATGGGGCTAAGTGTGTCAGAGACGGTGAGACTAGCTCACGATAGGGCAGAGTTCGGAGCTATTGTACTCAGGAATATTAATTTCAGGCAACTTGATGGCACATAACAACAACTACCCCAATGTGATCTCATGTTAGCCTAACTAATTACATCTCTAAAGAATTTATTCTCAAACAATGTTACATTCACAGGCACCAGAGGCTGGAACATGGCAGTGTCTCTGGGAAGACATGCATCAGACACAAGAGCGGCACTGGGGACTCTGAGTCCAAAGTTCCCACATGGGGGCGCCCTGACTCCACCATTTACACCTTTATTAGGCGGCATTCTGTTTGAAAGGAATCTCCTCTCTGTTCATTTCTTGATTATTTATATCAGAGTGACTGTTTAATTCAGTGCATTAAAGTCTGCTACTCTCTTGCTGTGTTGTTGGCCAGCTTGTTCTCTGTTTGGCCAGGGGTGGTTGTTTTATTGAAACGCCCTTCCTCATTCTCCAAGTTCCTCCCAACTTTCTGGAACATCATTTCCAGCTCATATTATACTTTCCTACCCTAGTCACAGGTGACTCAATGGCACACACAACAACAACAACAACAACCACCCTAGGCCTGGAATCAGCATTTTTTCCCCAGGGAGAATAGTGCTTGGATACCAAGGTCTGGACACCGAGTTTGCTCATTGCTCCCACTCAGTCTCAGTAGATGGGTTGA